CAACGACGGCAACGAGAAACTACTGCATTAAAGGTCCCTGATGACATATCTAGTATAAATTATAATGGCTAGCACTATTTGCGCAAGAAACATGATTGATTATGGTAATCGGAGAACAAAATCCGGCAGGGGAGGACAACCATTAGAACGCAAGGCCTCCTTGGTCGTCAACATGCGAAACCCTTACACAAAATACCACAAAAAAATACTCAACCCTCTCAGATAAAAATAGCTACCTGGAATGTAAGAAGTATGTATCAGCCTGGAAAACTACACAATGTTATTAAAGAGAAAGAGAGGCCAGATATAGATATACTGGGGGTTAGTGATGTACAATGATCAGGAAATGGAGAGATATTAATAAATAACCACAATATTTATTACACTAGAGGAGACAAAACTGATCATCGATACAGAGTAGCTTTCATCATAAGCAACACTATTAGAAAATCCGTGCTAGGTGTGATTCAAATCTCAGAAAGAATAATAATGCTAAAAATTCAAGCACGGAACTGTAAGATTAATATGATCCAAGTCTACGCTCCCACTGCTGATAAGACCGAAGATGAGATCGAAAAGTTTTATTCAGAATTGCACAATACAATCAAGTTAACAAAATCTAGAGATATTACTTACAGTATTGTGCGAATTAATGGAATCATAGGCTGTTTTAATGAAAAAACAGTTTATTTAGTAAAAAATTATATTTTGACAAAACTAAAAAGGTAAACTTACATCATTCAGTAGGAAATATATCCCCGTTTGGCAGCAATTACTGCTTTTACCCGTTTTGGCATAGATTCTATGAGTTTCTGGCAGTTGTCAGATATCCTTTCTTCTCGATACCAAACCTGAATGGCCGCTTCTATCCATAGATAAATAATATAGTATATACAGATAGATAGGCAACTCTATATATAAATTTGGTTTATTAGCACCACTGATGAGTGGAGTCAATACTAATCACCATTTGGCGGGAAATTCGAATGGTTAAGTATTAATTTTATCCCTGTAGTGCCTCTGATGGGTCATTTCGGTACTAATTAAAATTTAGTGGGAAATTCAAAATATTTTATTATTTTCCAATGGAATAATCTCACATATCGTGAGTGATGTGACAATACCTATCTGCTTTTTCACAAGTTTTGTAGGGAGACGAAAATCTTTATTTATAGGAACTATAACTAAACTTTAGAAACTAAGGAATCAAATAAAACTAAACTGAAAAAACTAAAGAATCAACTAACCGAACTTTAAAAACTAAGGAACCAACTTAAATTAAAATTACTAAGATTAAATTACAAACGAAAGTTAAAGATAATTAAATTAAAAATGAAAACTAAGGTATCAACTAACTAAACTTTAAAAACTAAGGAAACAACCTAAATTACTAAGACTAAATACAAACGAAAGTTAAAGATAATTAAATTAAAAATGAAAACTGTAAACAAGCCAAAGCACGTGGAAGACGAAAATGGACGAAAGTCGAAAATATACAAATATCAATCATCAACTTGTCATTACTTTTGACGGAATTGACATGGCGGAATTAAGCTTCGTTTGATTATTTTATTTGTGACATTCAGAGATGGTGTTAAAATAAAATGATTGGTTAAAGTCTTCGTGAGCGAGATAGGCTGTCATCTCTCTTTATTAACCGACTGGAGTCAAAGTGATGGGGGAAATGTTCAAGGTTATTCATATAAGATTCCAGGCCATGGCTTCTATCATTTTTGTTTTAGTGGTACAGTCGATTTTTCGCAGTCTAGCTTTGCAAATGGCCCATAAATTTTCAATGGGGTTGAGGTCGGGCGAATTACCGGGCCAATCTAAAACATTAATCTTATTATTGAAAAATGCCATCATTTCCTTTGATTTGTGACAGGGAGCAGAGCCCTGTTGAAGAATCGCTCCTCCTTGGGGTTGACATTTTTGGAGTTGTTTGTCCAAATACTTTTCCAACATGGATTTGTATTTTAATTGGCACCAAAGATCCAACCCCCATGTATGAAAAACATCCCCAAAACATTTTCTTGACTGGATGTTTTACGGTTTGATCAATATGAGATGGTGTAAGCTTTTCATTGTCAGACTTCCTGACGAATGTCGACCGCTGTCCCTGAACTATAAAGTGAGTTTCATCTGTAAATAGGACTTTTTTCCAGTCGCCTAGAGTCCAATTAGAGTATTTTTTGGCCCACAGTAGCCTTTGTTTCTTCATTCGTTCAGTTAGAAGCTGTTTTTTCTGTGGACGAATTGCCCGTCTACCATTCTCCAAAAGTCTTCTACAAACAGTTGAGTCATGAATCACTATAGCTGATGCTGCTAGATATTGTTGTAGGTTTGGGCTTGATTTACTTGGGTCCAATTTGCTCTTTCGAAGTAAAAATCTATCATCTGCTGGTGTTGTTTTTCTCCTTTTCTCTTTCTTCCACATTTTCCTAACCTTTTCACATCCACTGATCCCGTTTCTCGTCTACGCTTCAATATTTTGCTTATTACCCCCTGACTCACTCCACACGTTCTAGCAATCTGTCTTTGTGACATACTAGTGTGTTCACTCAACGTGACAATCTTTTCACGCTTCCTAGGCGTAATATCCATGTTGGAATAAAACCAAAAACTACACAAAATAGTACAAAAACCCCTAAAACAACACAAGCTTGGTAAGAAATGACCTAAAACACACTCAAACACACCAGTAACACACAGTAAGGTTATGTTTTCAATGCTTGGTCAGCTGTCAACAGTGCAGGTAGTGTTGCCAACTGTGAATATTGAAAAAATGAAAAAAATTCACAGTGATTCCATTAATTCGTACAATACTGTACATTTTAGGAGATTTTAATGCAAAAATTGGAGTAGGTACAGTTGAAAATATAGTTGGACAGTTCGGACTAGAAACTAGAAACGAGAGAGGAGAAAGCAATGACGTATAATATATAGACTCGGTGAACGCTTTAAAAAGTGTCCAAAACATGAATACCTTTGTTATTGTTTATTGTTTTGATACGAAGATGCACGAAGTTCATGATTTCTTACGAAGCATCACGAAGTTAATCTTGTGTTTGAAAACATCATGGACGTATGAAAACATTTTCTCCATTTTGTGTGACAAGCAAATTTTATTTATAATTGTTGAGAGTTATTTACTTACTATTTTAGTAAAATGCCATACTATTTTATCAAAATAATTATTTCTCTTATAGACGGGAACAAAAAGAAATCATAAATATTTAATTTTAATTAAAAAAATATTTATTGTCATTAATATATAAATGAGCACGCCGCTGTTCTGATAAACATACCTTCAACCTTGAGCCGAGATCTTTCGGACACTCGATTCTATAGCGAGAATAGGGGACTGCGTAGTCTACATATTATACGTCATTGGGAGAAAGGCTCATAGAATTCTGCCAAGAATATGGTCATTGCCAATACTTGGTTTCAGCTTCCTAAAAGAAGACTATATACTGGACGTCTCCTTCACATACAGAAAACCACATTGTCAGAAACCAGATAGACTTTATACTCGTCAATAGCAGATATAAAAACTCTATAACTTCAGTTAAAACTTATCCTGGAGCAGATGTTAACTCAGACCACAATCCGTTAGTGGCTGACGTTAAAATTAAATTAAAAATAATTGAACTCAGAAAACAATAACTAAAAATTAATGTAAGAATGCTACAAAACGAAGAAATAAAAAACGAATTAAAAAATAATGTGAATGTTAATATCTGTTATAGATATTAATCTGTTAATATCGAGTAATGTTATTAACTCGATAACAAGTTGTTATCAACAGGTCCTCGTAGACACTTCGTCTCAGGACCATTTTACTCATGTAGACTCATACGCCGCCATGTTACCTATCCAACGGTAACTTAACCATCACAAATTAGAAATACTAATAATGTAAAACAACTTCAAATTTATAACATTTAAAGGGTTTTTACCCATATATTTTGGTGGCTACTAGCATGTACAACCGTTTGCACTGATGATGGATTGTTTAATCCGAAAACGTTTTGCAATGTGTTTGTGATAACCCGTTTGAGGCATTTTTATATACCTTTTATAAAGGATTTTAAACAAAATTTTTTTATCTTGGATATATCTTTAAATTTACCATACCACATGTTCAAAAACTTTCTCCCATTTCAATAAGCAAAACAAAATGTTACTTTTATAATTTTTTTTTCGGATTTTCATTTCTACACACTCGAAATTCCTTACTAATGTAGATGTAGATTTTGGAGGAATCTAGTAGCTAACAATTTTACTTTAGTCTAATTTTGATGTAGGTATAATAATTTTAGACAGGTTTTGGATAACAGGTTGAAAAATAGGGATAACCAGAATTTTTATTATAAAATTATGTCTGAACTTTGCACAACTTGTTTCGTTGAAGCATTCTCAAATTCTAGTTATAAAAAACCTTCTGGATATATTTTTACCAAAATCTAAGATCTCACTCCTGACAGAACTAATAACGAGTGAGATACCTATGTAGGTGGATCGTCATCCTCGGTGTGTTTATTTCTATGCGGGTCGGCTTTCCTAATTACATTTCTCTATAAGTTTTTCTCTTGGATCACACCAATATCAATCCTCTTTTGCCCCCAGATCTTTTTTGGTCGTTCTTGTTGAACATGCCCGAACCATCTTAGCCTATGCTCTCTCATTTTGGTATCAATTGGTGCAACCCCTGTATATTCATTCTTAATGTTATCCTTTTTTGTCATTCAACTAATCCTTTTAAGCATTCTCATGTCCGCTACATGTACTTCCACTTTCTTTTTAACTTCCCAAAATTTAGTTCTATACATCAGAGTTTTAAAGAATTTTCCCTTCAGTTTCATTGAACTCTTTCTCCCACACAAGATTCATCTATTTGCATTTCACCCATCTCACTCTAACTCTACTGCAAGTATCTCTATCTATTTCGTTATAAATCTATAATACCGACCTATGTTGATGAATGAAGAAGATTAAAAAATATCTGCATAAATATACTTTAATAACTCTAACAATATTTCAAAGTTGACACTTCAATACTAATATTGTAAAAAACTGTATCACATAGTTATAGTAATACTAGAATAATCTTGGTAAAGTAATAACAAAAATAATATGAATACAAAGGATTATCAAAATATAAAGTTCCCGGGATATTTTCAATATTAGGCATACTTTTTGTCGTCATCTTTTCCCGCTATCCAGTCTTCAATCTCCTGGACACTGTAACATAACATAAGTAAGTTAATGTCACCGATTAAACGCTTCAATAAGAGGTAAAAAAACCTTAGATGTTTGAACATAATTGATCCATAACATAGACAACATTTCATGATATATGTAGAAGTGGTTGCATATACTTAGGTAATATAGATTTGTATGTATGGAAGTACTTTTTTGTTTTAACTGTGAAGTGATTTATGTGTATGATATAATGATAAGTTTGAATTAAATTGATTCCCAATACATAAAAAATGGCTCATTGTGTGTATGTAGTAGCTTGGGGTGTAAAAAAAAATATTAAATATTTAGTAAAAAAATTAATACATAACTAACGAAATAATTAAAACGAAAGTTACTAGAAGTGTGTCGCTTTAGTTTTCGGTTTGTTTTTCCCTAATGAGGTTTTGTCCTAGGCTGCTAGGATGATTTTTTCGTTCTGTTCTTTGGCAGTTTTCATTTGAAGATTACGAATAATAAAAGAATTATGTACAGATTAAGGTGTATTTGTAATAATGCGGAGAACTTTTCACTGGAATAGTTTGATTTCATAACTCTGGCACTGGATAAGAAAATAGTTTTGGGGAAGAATTTGCCTAACTTTGTAAATTAAACGAATGTAGCAGCTTCTACCGAAAGCTTGAAAAATATTAAAAAAAAACAACATTGCCAAACAGCAAAAATTAATAAAATGACAAGACGCGATTAATTTCATCTGCTGTGACATGTTGCTGTCTAAATACAAACTGCTCATGGGGTAATGAGCAAATGCTTAACATCAATGAGAATTGGACAGACATTAAAACAGCGTTAATGAAACCAAGCATAAGTCACCTCCATAAAAGTAAAGAATATAAAAAAGAATGGATGACAGATGAGATACTGAACTTAATGGATGAAAGAAGAAAACAGAAAAACAAAAAGAACCAGAAGTATAAAGAGATACAAAAAGAAATTCGTCTAAAAATACGCACAGCTAAAGAAAACTGGTACGGGGAAAAATGCGAAGAAATCGAACAACTGCAAAATAAACACGACAGCTTTAATGCACATCGGACAGACACAACATATTTGTAGACGAGAGTGGAAACATTATTATGGACACAGAAGAAAAATTAAGAGTCTGGAAACAGTACATAGAACAACTGTTTAAAGATCAAAGAGACAATGTAGATAACGAATACATAAACAGTGATACGGGACCAGAAATAACAAGAGATGAAGTGGAATACACGATTAAAGAAATGAGGTCGGGGAAGGCTACAGGCCCAGATGAACTACCAATAGACATAATTAAACTCATCAAAGGCAACAACTTAATAAAGATCGTGGAACTATTTAACAGCATTTACAAATCTGGTATCATACCTAATGAATGGCTAGTAACAACAATAATAGCCATACCCAAAAAGTCTAATGCGAGACAATGCTCGGAACATCGCACCATCAGTCTCATGTGTCATATATTAAAGGTCTTCTTAAAAATCATTCATCGGAGAATATATAAAAAATTGGAAGTTGACATCGGACCCTCCCAATTTGGCTTTAGAGACGGACTAGGAACTAGAGAGGCACTGTTTGCTTTTAATGTTCTAACACAACGATGCTTATAACAAAGCATTTGATACAGTAAAACATAGGCCACTGATGCAAATACTGGAAAATAAAAATATTGATACAAGGAACATGCGAGTGATAAAGAATCTATACTACAAACAAGAAGCTACAGTACGAATTAACAGCTCGATATCAGATAGAATACAGATCAAAAGAGGTGTTCGGCAGGGCTGTGTGTTGTCTCCAACCTTGTTCAATGTCTACGCGGAAGAAGTTATTAAAAAAGCTCTTATGAACGAAAAAGCCGGAATAAAGATCAACGGTCACCCCATTTGCAATATCCGATATGCTGATGATACCGCGCTCATAGCAGAAAATATTGACGAGCTACAGAGATTACTAAACAAAGTGCTAGAAGCAAGTGAAGAATTTGGTCTGTCACTGAATACAAAGAAGACCAAATTCATGATAATAACAAAGAAACGTATCAATAATATCAACTTACATGTAGGACAGAATCTCATTGAACGAGTACAAAATTACAATTACCTCGGAACAAATATTAACGAGTCAAACGAAAACACCAGAGAAATAAGAATAAGAATAGAGAAAGCCCGCAGTGCATTTAACAATATGAAACAAATGTTGTGTAGCCGTAACCTAAGCCTAAAGCTGAAAATACGAATGCTTAAATGTTATGTTTTCTCGGTCCTATTATATGGGGTGGAGGCGTGGACACTAAATAAGCAATGTATGGGTAAGCTGGAAGCATTTGAGATGTGGGCGTACCGAAGAATGTTAAAAATCTCCTGGAAGGATAAGATAACTAACCAAGTTGTATTAGACAGGATGAACAAACAAAAGGAGGTCGTATTGAGTGTTAAAATGAGGAAACTACAATACCTGGGACATATTACACGTGGGAATAAATATCAACTGTTACAACTAATTATGCAAGGAAAGATTGAAGGTAGGCGCAGCATAGGTAGGAGAAGAATGTCATGGTTGAGAAACCTCAGGGAGTGGTTTGCTTGCACTTCCATACAATTGTTCCGAGCGGCAGCCTCCAGGGTCAAAATTGCCATGATGATAGGCAACCTTCGTAGCGGAGATGGCACGTGAAGAAGAAGAAGAATGGGGTAATGTTTGGCATTCTGAGAGAAGTAGTTATAATTTATTAAATAGCAACGTTTCAAAAACCTTTGACATCATTGGCAGTGGATTAATAGGTCTATAAGATTTAATGTCTTCTTTAGGCTTGCCTGCTTTACGATAATTTGTGCAGTTTTCTACAATAGAGGACAGTAGACACAACAGAATTGCAGTAATAGTATTTGGATCATATCCAGGAACTCTTTCTAATTCAGATCTGTTTGTATTTTCTAATGGAACTTATTTAGCAATAAATTTTTGTAGGACTAAAATTAGTTTTGTATCGGTTCGCCAGTATGTTGTGTAGATTGTGTCCAATTAAGTCGGCATTATATCGGAAACATTTTATTACTAATTTTACGAAAAACACAATTATTCTTTATAAAAAGTTGTGCATAGGTCATGCACATGCCTTAGCGTTTCTGACACGTTCAAGAATAGAACTTTGTTCACAAAATTTGAAGAAGCTAGTGTGGCCTGACTATAAATCAGGAAAAAGCCAAGCATACGGAAATGAGAAGGGAAAATGCAGAAGAAAATAATTCAGTCCAAGGATGAATGTGAGAGAGTATTTTGAGAAAGTAACAGAAGTTACCTTGGAGTAACAGTTACAAATAGAGGAGGTGAAGAGAGAAATAGATAAAAGGTTGTTGAAAGGTAGCAAAGCAGTAGGATCATTAAATGCACTGTTATTGGGAGAGGAAAACCTTAAGAAATGTTTTTGGTGGTATAAAGGATATTAACGGGGAAAGGCGCAGAAGAACAAACCGGGAGCTAATGGAGATGTATAAGAGACCCAAAATAACACAGAAAATCAGGGCACAGACAGTTAGATGGTTGGGACATGTTTTACGATGTCAAAAGAAAGAAATTTCTTAAAAGTTTTGCAAGTCGGAGAACAGGGTAAGAAAAGAAGAAGAAGACTAGGAAGGAAGTGGTTTGATACCGTCCGAATTGACAGAAGAAACGAGAAAAAGGGGCTGGAGAGAACAGTGAAGGACCGGAGAAAGTAGAAGAATCTTGTCAAAATTATCGTGAAACGAAGCCTGTTCAATCACGGATGTTCTTCAGGCAAGAACACTGCCTCCGATCAGGTCCTTTGTAGCCCTCTATTTTTCATTCCTAGATTAGTTTTGGGAGCACTTATATCTGGTGTAGAGATATGCGGTCTTTCTTATCTTGATTAATATTAACAGTTCTGTTTTTCCAATTAATCTCAAAATTTTCGTCATTTGTTACGTGATCCTCCCAAGACAGTCTGAGTATATGTCTGTAATCCATATTTCCAAGTCCCAAGAGGGTTCATTGTAGGTTCAAGCCTACTCGATAAGACAAGACAGAAAGAAAAAAAATAACATTTGACAAATCTGAACCTGGTTACTAAATTAAGGCTGCGATTGCTTGCCAAAGTATTCATGTTGAGGTAAGTTGCTCTTGTCATTTCTCACTTACAGGTTATATCAATTTTTTTATAATTTTATTTCCAAAATATAAAATATTCAGTAACTATAGTAACAATCATTGTTATGAATTATTAAATTATTAAAAGAGACTTATGGTTGAGACATTATTAAAAGGCTCAACAAAACTATTTTCCAAAATGTCGATCAATGACATTTTTCTCCGGTCCTCATTCTTTCTTCCATTTTTTCATCTCCCATCCTTTCATTCCTTTATAAATTCCTATGCGTATATATATATATATATATATATATATATATATATATATATATACATCCAAGAGTAGATTCATCACCTATAGTTCCAAAGATCCACAATCTCTCCAAAACAATCCAACTCGTTGAGCCACATCAGATACATCTACATTTGACTGCCCAAAATGTGAAAAAATATTGCGAATTTAAAGACAGAACCAAAAACGTAAAAGCTTAATATAAATTCAAATTACTTACGTTCTTGGCACTTTGGTTAAATTCCTAATACCATCTTCTGTAACTACTACATCATCTTCAATGCGAACACCGCCAAAATTCCTATAAGTGTTAATGACATCTGCGACTAAAAACTTGGATTTATTAGGGTCAGCTAGGGCATTATCTAATAGCTAAAACAAATAAAATGTCATTAAGTAAAAAAGTTCTGCTAGTTTTACCCGCAAAGTACATTTTTCGGTCAGAATGTGCATGAATTATGGTGAGGTAGAACACGCTACACGAAATAATGCAAAAATTAGAAAAGCGAACAGATGATACACCAACTAAGTGTCTGAAACTAATAGAGAATGATAACATAAAAGGAGTAGTAAGACTTTTTAATTCAATATATAACACCGGATTGATTCCCACAGATTGGCTCAAATCCATCTTTATCGCAATACTTAAAAAACACAATGCGAGAAAATGCTCAGAATATCGATTAATTAGCCTAATGAGCCACACTCTTAAAATTTTCCTCAGAATACTTCACAACAGAATTAAACGCAAATGCTAAGAAGATCTTGAAGATGCAAAACTATGGTAACTAGGGAGGCACTTTTTGAGCTTAACATCCTATTACAAAAATGTCGTGACCAAAGAAAAGATGTATTTGCATGTTTCGTTGACTTCGAAAAGGCATTCGATAAAGTACAGCATGTAAAATTAATGCAAATACTGAAAAATATCGGAATAGATGACAAGAATATTCGTGTCATTAAAAATTTGTACTGGAATCAAACTGCTATCGTAAAAATTGGAGATAACTACACCGATGAAATCTCTATACAACGAGGAGTCAGACAAGGTTGCATTTTGTCGCCAACGTCGTTCAATGTTTACTCAGACCAGTTATTTAAAAAGGTACTTTAGAGACAACCATATGGAATAAAAATCAACGGGGAACTACTTAATGTGATTACTATATGCAGACGATACAGTAATTCTATCCGATAATATTGAAGGTTTTTAAATTCTGCTTGATCGTATTCACGAGGTAGGAGAGGGAATGGGCATTAAAATAAACTCAAACAAAACCACATTTTTAGTCTTTGGTCGTGACCCACATCCCGAAGCAAAGCTTCAATTAAACGGAGTCCAAGTTAAAAAAGTTCACAAAATGACATATTTGGGACCTGTGATAACGGACCAACTAGATCCAGACATAGAAATAAAACGTAGAATAGCAATGACTAAAACTACTTTTATAAAAATGAAGTCATTTCTTTGCAATAACCATCTCAGTTTAGAACTAAGACAAAGAATGGTTAAGTGCTATATTTGGTCCGTACTTTTGTATAGTGCAGAAGTGTGGACGCTAAAAGTATCGATCATGAACACAATTAAAGCATTGGAAAAGTGGGTTCATAGACGAATGCTAAAGATACCTTGGACAGCAAGGAAAACTAATGAAGAAGTACTAAGGAGCGTCAACAAAGATAGAGAACTGCTAAAGACTCTTAAACATCGAAAAATGTCTTATCTTGGACATATAGTAAGGGGAAGTCGATATAAAATATTACAACTGATCCTTAAAGACAAAATAGAGAATGGACTCAGATACCAAATGCAGGACAATTATTCCATATTGCAGAAGATCGAGAAGCCTTCGCAATGGTGATCACCAACGTCGGATAATTCTGATATGGCACGCAAATAAGAAGAAGAAAAAAGTCCTATTGTAAGACCGTCAAAACCAACAAGAAACACACGTGTGTGCGATTTAATCTGATTCCATGTTAAATATAAGGAATACAGATAAATACTTACGATATTAATGAAATAACAGCCAGGTTCAATAGTTAGTACCATATTTTTTTCTAAAATCCTGGCAGTTCTCAAACTTTTTAATCCAGGTTTTGTAGATCGTTCCGGATTTCCTTTTAAATAACCTCCAACATCATGTACATTCAAACCAACAAAGTGTCCCAAACCATGAGGTTGAAAGATAGGTGCAATATCAGCCGCTATCATATCATCTACGGAACCCTGTAGAAGTCCCCCTTTCTTAAGTTCTTCCAGCAAGACTCTATTGGACAATAAATGCATATCAGTCCACGACACTCCTGGTTTACCCGCTTTGAGAACAGCTTCATTTGATTTTAAAACAGCTTCATATATGATTTTTTGTTGTGGAGAAAACTTGCCGTTAATTGGGAAAGTTACTGTAATGTCAGCTGCGTAACCATAGTATTCGCCTCCCATATCAAATAGGCTACAACGAAAAATAGAAATAAAAGTAATTGTACAGTATTTTAAATAAAATAAAAAGTGAGTGGTTCAAGAAGCTGATATCAGGTTCCAAACTATAGTTTATTTTTATGAACGAGAGAGTAATTAGCATAATTTTAACTGGTACCTTCGACCACTCCATGGGCGTGCTCAAAATTAATTGAAAAATTACTTTGAATAATTGTAAAAAATAAATGAATTATTTCAGTGTTATAAAGTGTTATGTGTATGTAAACAAAAGTGACCTCTTTTATCACACACTATATTAGAACTGACTGGCCTACATTAAAAAGGGTTTTAAAAAATTCATATTTTTTTTTAATTTTTAAAAATTACAAAAGAGAAAAAGAGTTTTTAAAACCGTCTAAGGTATGTTAAATAGATGAATAAAAATATTAATATAAACCTTACAGCTACTTGTTACAAATCCAAATCAGATTCAGAAGATGAACTTTCAGAACCAAGATTTATAATAACTGGCTCGATCATTTTATCAGTAATATTGTCCAGCATCCACATTTTTTCCACTTCTTTAATAGTGTGATTTACTGCCTTTTCCCAGTTTTCATGTTTTACATTATTTACGGCCTCCAAAAACAACTGTTTAACATCATGAATTTTAAAAGTGGTATTTTTTCTTGAAACTTCACTCTTTATCTGTGCCCATACCAGTTCAATCGGGTTTAATTCACAATGATATGGTGGGGATCTAAGTACTGTCATTCCACGATTTTTGGCAATTTCATCAATTTCGTATTTTTTAAATTTTTCTTTATGAAGGGCACACAACGAATAAAGTTCCTTTATTATAGATCCGGGATGGTACGTAATATTTTTTGAACTCAGCCAATTCTGCAAGTCTTTTTTTAACCACTTGGTTGTGGGCAGTCCTTTTATAAGTCTGGAGTGATAACTTGCATTATCCATTACTATTACACAGTTCTTAGGAAGAAGATCTATCATTTGTTCGAACCATTCTTGAAAGACATCAGCGTTCATGTCTTCATGGTAGTCACCGGTACGAGTTGATTCAAAAGTTAATAAACCACCTTCAACAAAACCGTCTGAACTGCCAATGTGTACTATTATCAGCCTGCGTCCCTTTCCTGATGGTGGGTTTAAACCAGTAGATAAGTTATTTACAAAAGCGTGCCTTTGACTTAACAGACGTAACAGTTTCATCCTGCCAAAATTTATTTGGTGTATGACCCTCGTTGATCCATGTTTCATCAAGATAAAATATTTTTCTTTTTTGGTTTCTCATTTCCTTTATGGTTCTTAGAAAATGTCTTCTCCATATGACAATATCGCTTCTTTCTAATAAAATAGACTTTCAGGGATTCTTTTTCCAGCGGAAGCCTATTTCTTTTAAAAGTTTCCATAACGTACTTCGACTCATTTCTGGGTAATCCTTATCATCTCGAACTGAGACAAGAACTTTATCCAATGTTGGAAATTCTTGTCTAAAGAAGAATTCATGCACTTTCCGTCGAAGTCCTTCTTTAAAATGATATTCTATTTAAAATTTTGGTTTTCCTGGAGCATTACGTGGGATTTGAAAACTACCACATTTCTCTTCTTTAATAACTCTGTAAATCGTAGATTTCCCAACACCAAGTGTACTGCTAACTAACTCAACGGTCTCATCAACACTTTCACATAAACGTTTGTCTGTAAATGATTTAAAACAATTAAATATTAATGTTTTTTCATTAACTGTTAAAGGACCAATTTTTCGGCGTTTACACGGCACTTCCAAATTTTCCATAACACTAGTATACACAATAAACTGCACCTTGCAAGTGAAGTACCTACTTTTAGTGAACTGTTAAGAATTTTGAATACGCCACTTGGACCTTCCTACAAAATGGAAAAATCCACTATCACATTTTCTGTAGAATAAGTTTAGAAGGTAATTATCTAGTCAATTACTGTCGTAGATTCCTGGAATTAAAGAATTAAATGTTTGATTGTTGAAACCCTTACTTCGTGAAATGTACTCATTTCAGATAAAATAAAACGTTTTATTTTATCTAAAGAATTAAACTTTATTTTGCAAATAGGTAGGTACTTATTAAACTTTTATTGGTTATATATAACCAATAAAATAAACATCTTACATTTCTTGCAAATTCATTAGTACCTGTTAACCTCCATCACTCCGACACTGGCAACCTTATTTAGGGATTAGTAACCCTCACAACTATTGTATTCTATTCTGCTCCAACCTTTATACCTGGTGGTCATACTCAATTTAAAATTGTTTTCCTATATACTTCTGTAAACTTGTTGACAAATATCTGTTTTTCATTGAGTCACCCGTATCAACAGTTTAGGAATTTGCATACATAATTTATTGTTTTATTACTCTCTCATACATAAAAATACACTATAGTCTCTCCTAGGAATGACGAAAATTCTTTAGTCACAGGCCAAAAAAGGTTATTTGGGCATTGACTAAGACCTTAAGTGAGACCTGAGGATTGACTAGTCAAACCTAGGAGCGCCGAGCTTCAAAAAGAGCTATATATATATATATATATATATATATATATATATATATATATATATATATATATATATATAGTTAATATTAAATATCGGATGAAAGAAGGAAATCAAAAATATTTAGAAACCTAGAATAATTTATAAGTTATATACTAGAGAATATTATAAAAAGCATTTATATGAGGACGTCCTTAAGAATTTAGCAAAATAATTTGTTTAAAAAGTTTTTATTTTGCAATGTATTTGGTTATTTTAATATTATAAATAGATATGTTTATGCCATCTACATAGACAACCACAGATACACTGAAGTAAGTTTGGTCGTTGGAACTTTTGTGAATAAGAGTGATATGGAACAGAAAGTGGACATTTGAAATAATAATTACGGATTAAAATAGTGTTATTTATTAATTTAAGATGTTTAATTTATATATAAGTTTACATTCTAATCTGAAAAGCCCAAATTTCCATAAAACTCGATAGGAAAGTAAAAAATTATCAAGGAGTTTAAAATAAGACATCAACAGAAAGAATTTAACCTCTTTTCGTAGGAGAATATTCGCGAACATTGAAATATTTACAAAATAGAAGAGATTCGAACCTATTTTCTTTCGAGAATATTCATGAACATTGAAATATCTATAAATACCACTTAAAAGTCTGTAGATATAGATTCTGAATAGCGACTTGACTCCTTGCAACCATATTGTACCCACTTATCTATACATTCACCTGGTATTGTTTACCTTCACATAATTTTATTCCAGTATCTTGAGTTCAATACTCTTTTGGTTAAGCCATAATTGGATTTACCAAAATCCCATTTTTTCCTATCAATTCTGACATATAATGGCAAACAAAAGACCTAACAAAGTATTAAAATAACTTACCACAATTTTCCATCTTCCAGTTGAAAGTTGTTGGGGGCTCCAGCATGCCCATAGTGCAAAACTGCCGAATTAATCCCCGATCCACATATACAGGTATACGCAGTATGCCTACATCCGCCATGTTTGTAGCAGTAGTTTAAGAATTCTGATTCACACTGATATTCGAATGTTCCCGCTTTAGCGAATCGCATAACATGTCTATGTGCTGCTGAAGACACTTCAGTAACGTATTTAAGTACATCTAGTTCGTAGGGTGTTTTAATTACTCGACTAAAAACATCAAAAATTATTATTATTATTATTATATTTTATATATTATTATTATTAGTAACAAAGTCTGTTACATATATAATAGGAGATATCAAAAAAGATTTTTGTAAATAGTAAAGTAAATAAAAATAATAAATTTAATTCTTGAAATACCGCTTTTTTCACTGCATTCACTTAAAATATATCTAAAACTATTAATTTAGTCATAGGAAATACTTAAACAAATTATACTACATTGACTTTTGCTTATGATGGTGGTATAATTACTTTACTGGCCTTAGACAATTTAACAATATTGTTAATCGTTTGGGTAGACTGCTAGATTTAGTCTTACCGCATTTCAGTTGTGAAGTGAAGCATGATGACTCACCTTTTGTCTATAAAGACTCACCTTTTGTCTATGAAGACTCTCATCACCCAGCTCTTCTAATAACATTTACCGATATATTTGTAAAAGAACCTAAATTTAGTTATGGTTTGGAGCAATTAACTTACAACTTTAAAAAAGCAAATTATCCTGCTTTATATCGAGAACTGTATAAAACGGATTGGAACTCTCTGGATACTTCTAATGACGTTAATGAAACTTTGTGTCTAAACGTGTTTAATAAGTATATTCCAATTAATAAAAATTTTAGCCATAAATACCCATCCTGGTTCGATGCTGATATCATTCACAACATCAAATTAAAAGCAAAGTTTAGAAAAAAGTTTAAACGATTCAAAAATCATTGTGATTTGCTTGAGTTTCAACGGTTAAGACACCTTGTCAAATCAAAAATCAGTTTCGCATACAATGTATATGTCGAGAATATCCAAATTGCTTTATCCATCAACCCCAAGAAGTTTTGGTCGTACGTAAATTCGAAAAATAATAGTTCAAGAATTCCTGGTGTGATGAAATATACTGGCATTACTACCTCTACCCACAAAATATTGTGAATGTGTTTGCAGAATTTTTCAAGAGTGTTTTCTGTCATCAGATATTAATTTCAAGGCTAACTCTTCCTCAGTTAACGCAGATTACTTAAATTTTTATCCTATTTTAGATTCTGAGATAATTTTTGCTAGTAAGAAATTGAAAGACAAAATGACGTACGGACCTGAGTATTGGTGAGTTTTCTGAGGATATTATTTCAGACTATCACTTTCTCTGTGCATTGGAGTGTTGCACCATTCCATCGGACTTGCAAGTCTCCCGATCGTTCGTCCAGTGGGGAAACAGAAGGAGCTTGCGTCATGGCTGGGTTCGGTTTAAGTTAGTTAATTGTTTCGGTAGTAGTTCAGCATGATATCGATAGTCCGTTCTACTTTCTCGAATATTTCTCCTTGCGTAGTAGAGGCCAGTTGATCGGCATCTAGAAAGTGTTGGTTAGTTATTTGTGTATGTAGTTGAGAATGGGGTTGACATTACCCTGAGACAGGCCATTAGTTTGTCTTATCCATCAGCTCCTTTTCCCTTCCAGCATGACAGTATCATCCAGTTATAATCAACAGCTTTCTGTGGTCTGCTGTGAGCTCAAGTCGACCAGTGCATATTTGTTTATTTTTGAATCCCTCTTCTATGTGTTCTGCATGTTGAGAATTTAGCTGGAGCATGATTTACCTGATCTGAACCCAGCTTGTAGTGGTATGCAATTCTGCTCGATTATACTATGTGGTTTACGATGAGTCTTTCGCATCTCTTGAAAAGATGGCATAGAAGAGAGATTGATAAGTAGTTTTTGGACGAGTCTGGGTTCTTACTCGGTTTTAAAAGCACTATTAGTGAGAATTATTATGAAATTATTTAGTTAAAATATTTTCCTATTAAAATTGATTAATTTTTTGTAGCATCTTTCCCAAAAAAGTTAGAGCTTTTAAAGAGAATGTTGCGCAAATTTTATGCAGCATACAATCCACAAAACTAGCTTATTTGTACGATCAAAAACAGTATATTATGGTGAATACTTACAGATCTGCTATTATTGGAAAAAGGTCCTTATTGTTCACTTTAAACCTAAAAATAATTATAATATGTAAAAAGAGATAAAAAATAACAAAATAAAATATTTATTTAGTCTATACGTAAGTAGTGTCTTCAGGTTAGTTAGGAATGCAGTGAAAGCTGAAGACTATTAAAACAACATTTATAAATAGGACCAAATGTAGTATTATACAGATAAAAAAAGGATTCTGTTAAACTTTAAGTAATAAATTCTGTATTTATCAGAAAAATTATTATATTATTCTAATTAATAAAGAAAAGAATCATTAGCGGTGGAGAAAAAACCAAAACATTAGAGTCCAATATAAATCGGAATCTACAAAAGAAAAATTACTGTAAAACTTATTTGGCAACAAATATGTTATTCAATTTTTTAGTGAAATTCTATGTTAAAGAAAATTCTCAAAGTGAGGCAATTTTTGTAGGTATTATTTAGTATTTTTATTGGAAATTGACCACAACTTCAGTTTAAAATATGTTTATTTTGATATTTCATTTGTTTAATTTGTATTTGGTTAAAGAAACTTCGTTTTATTGTCCGTGTATAAACAACTCCAAAAACGGGAAATTGTAACGGAAAAGAATGCTGAAGAAGTGATACAGAAGTTTAATAGACACTAGCTATCACTACTGTAGTGATAGCGTAGTGATCAGTGAACAGTGTAGTAGTGTCTGGGGGCTCGGGAGACCGAGACCTCGGAAGCCCTGAGAAAGGCATCAGAGAGGATGCCAAAAGCTCGGCAAAATGGATATCGACGCGGTTCAACCCGGAAGACTGGTGAGTTTGATATTAATTTTAGTAATTTTAGTAATAATATTAATCTTAGCTCTAGGTTATATATATATATATATATATATATATATATATATATATATATATATATATATATATATATATATATATATATCGGAAAAAGGAGTACGACCGTCAAATTCCAATATATAAAAGGATCACTCAACAGAGTGGTGGGCTCTTATATCGGTCAATTTGTAGGTGGAGAAATGAAAGACAAAGTTGATGTGCCACTCTATCTATTTTGAAGACGTTTCGCTTTCGTATTCTGAAAGCATCATCAGTTCATTCTAAAAAGTATAATATAAGAACCACACAATCATGGAAAAGATGTTACAGGTGTTACCTTAAAAAGACATGTAGCAGTCAAAGATGTTAACAAGCTTATGAATTAAACTTGAATAAATGGACATTATAAAGTAGAAATGTATAAACATTTAATTTACTAACAACATTTAGTGACTTATTAAAAAATTAGCACAGTAAGTGACCATGTGGTCCGAAGTATAAAAAATATATTAAATTATGACTTAAATGATGCAAAGAACTAAGAAAATCAACGATTAACTTCCAACTATTGATAATTATTAAGCTTTAATTTTAACTTTTGGTAGCATTATTAAAAGATGTTAATATAATTTAAAAAAAAATAGTGTAAATGAATGAAGTTACCGGTCTAAGCCTTGCACCTGCTACCAGGAAAATGGCATTAGATTGAACAGGCTGACACAGAACCACGAAAAGACAGCCAACCTTGAGGTTGAAATTATTTCAACAGAACAGCAAGGTCAAAGGTACCACCTCACATAATTGAGCGGTTTATTTAAATGTTAATGAGTTTTGGATGACAGCCCGCTTGTAAGAGACAATCCAATGAAAGAAACTGATATAGCAATAACAATTACTCGCATTAGCTCGTCTAAAAACAAACAAACAGGAGAATTTCATTCAAACTCTTATATTTAAATTTATGTTAAACATTGTGGCTGAAAAAATTTTTCCAACAGGTGAATAACAATTAGATAATTTCCAACAGTCTAAGCTTCAGGCACTTAGATCTGTAATTTGTAAAGGATTCTATGAATCAATTACAATGTTAATATTATTACTATATTATTAAATAGTGACTGGTTCACACTTATATGGAAAATTTTAGTGTAGAGGTAACAGTGTAATGAAAGTTGCCTATATTTAAGTAGTTGGTATAAAGAATTGAGTGTTTCAGTTTATTTTAATATTAGTTATTTATTTACTATGTTATATTATTAATTAAAAAAATTGTGTTCAATTATGTATATTACATGACAATTATAGTGAAAATGAAAGTAAAGCCTAGTTCTGCAATATTAGAGCATGATAAATTTGGCTCAAGTTACTTATGTCAGTTCTCTTATTTAGAGAATTAGGATGTTTAAGAATTGAACACATTTCTAAAAACTGTCTTTTAAATAGATTACGTTCAGTGCCAAGAATCTTAACTTCATTAAAATCCACTTTATGTTTATAAACATAATCTATTTGAACGTAATCTATTTAAAAGACAGTTTTTAGAAATGTGTTCAATTCTTAAATATCCTAATTCTCTAAATAAGAGAACTGACATAAGTAACTTGAGCCAAATTTATCATGCTCTAATATTGCAGAACTAGGCTTTACTTTCATTTTCACTATAATTGTCATGTAATATACATAATTGAACACAATTTTTTTAATTAATAATATAACATAGTAAATAAATAACTAATATTAAAATAAACTGAAACACTCAATTCTTTATACCAACTACTTAAATATAGGCAACTTTCATTACACTGTTACCTCTACACTAAAATTTTCCATATGAGTGTGAACCAGTCACTATTTATTAATATAGTAATAATATTAACATTGTAATTGATTCATAGAATCCTTTACAAATTACAGATCTGCAAAGTGCCTGAAGCTTAGACTGTTGGAAATTATCTAATTGTTATTCACCTGTTGGCAAAATTTTTTCAGCCACAATGTTTAACATAAATTTAAATATAAGAGTTTGAATGAAATTCTCCTGTTTGTTTGTTTTTAGACGAGCTAATGCGAGTAATTGTTATTGCTATATCAGTTTCTTTCATTGGATTGTCTCTTACAAGCGGGCTGTCATCCAAAACTCATTAACATTTAAATAAACCGCTCAATTATTTGAGGTGGTACCTCTGACCTTGCTGTTCTGTTGAAATAATTTCAACCTCAAGGTTGGCTGTCTTTTCGTGGTTCTGTGTCAGCCTGTTCAATCTAATGCCATTTTCCTGGTAGCAGGTGCAAGGCTTAGACCGGTAACTTCATTCATTTACACTATTTTTTTTAAATTATATTAACATCTTTTAATAATGCTACCAAAAGTTAAAATTAAAGCTTAATAATTATCAATAGTTGGAAGTTAATCGTTGATTTTCTTAGTTCTTTGCATCATTTAAGTCATAATTTAATATATTTTTTATACTTCGGACCACATGGTCACTTACTGTGCTAATTTTTTAATAAGTCACTAAATGTTGTTAGTAAATTAAATGTTTATACATTTCTACTTTATAATGTCCATTTATTCAAGTTTAATTCATAAGCTTGTTAACATCTTTGACTGCTACATGTCTTTTTAAGGTAACACCTGTAACATCTTTTCCATGATTGTGTGGTTCTTATATTATACTTTTTAGAATGAACTGATGATGCTTTCAGAATACGAAAGCGAAACGTCTTCAAAATAGATAGAGTGGCACATCAACTTTGTCTTTCATTTCTCCACCTACAAATTGACCGATATAAGAGCCCACCACTCTGTTGAGTGATCCTTTTATATATATATATATATATATATATATATATATATATATATATATATATTTATATATATACAATATATATATATAATAAATATACAATATTAATTTAGGCTTATGTGAATAGTTAATTCGAGTGGCAATGAGTGCATTCAGCAACAATTATCTATTCAAATAGGATGTATTCGTGTGCACAGTTATTTACATCTTTCAATTAATATCAGAGTTGATATGATTTATCTAAATTAGGAGGAGTACTTATATTATTCAAATATTACTTACTTTTCGATACCCTCAAAAGTAGCAGCTTTGGCTGTAAGGCCACTGTCACTATTAACACCATTCTTAAAAAAAATACAATTAATTTATGATAGCCAATATAACACCCATTTTAACTTACCAATACCAGTAAAGTCTCTCTGTTTAGGTTTTCGAGTACCTGTTTCAGCTGAAAGAAAAAAATTACAATTTTATTAACTTAAATTAAATTTAAAAGAAAAGAATAAAAGAGTATTTTTGTAGCCTGTTACAGACAGCCTGTAGACAGACTGGACTTAAGAGGTATACTCCATTCCACGAATATACGACTGTTTTAAATTCGCTTTAAGGTGTCGATTTAAATGGTCAAATGTACTGAATTGTACAATAGTAAATTCTCCCCATTTTTAAAATACTGTTACGACAGATATAAACCTTATAGGTTTATATCTGTCTGTCTGGAAATGTAACAATACTTAAGTGATCAAATAGTGTAAATTTTTTAGTCGAATATTCAATTAATATTAAAAAAACTTACTTATTCACATAGAAAAATTATTTGCATCTAACAGGACTGATGATCACCTATATGGAGAAGGAGAAACAGGACCTTCAATTCTTAAATCGGAGATAGAAGATGCCATTGCAGCACTAAAAAACAATAAGTCAGCAGGTCCGGACAATGTACCCTGCGAAATATTAAAGATCCTATGTAAATCAGACAAACAGTTCCTTGACAATCTAGTTGTACTTTTTAACAACATATATAATAGCGGTAAAATCCCGGAGAACTGGCTACAGTCAACATTTATTACAATCCCGAAGAAACCAAATGCCCAGATTTGTGATGACTACCGGCTCATAAGCTTGATCAATCATGTCACTAAAGCGTTCACTAAGATCATTCACAGAAGAATATATGATAAATGTGAGTCAAATATTGATAGATCGCAGTTTGGTTTTCGGAAAGCACTTGGAACTAGAGAAGCAATTTTTGCTCTCCAGGTGCTTATACAACGGTGTAGAGACGTTGATAAAGACGTGTATCTGTGCTTTGTAGATTTTAGAAAAGCATTTGACAATGTCAATCATGAACAATTGATAGGTATTCTGAGAAAGACAGGTATTGACGACAAGGACATTCGAATTGTGGCAAACCTATACTGGGGTCAAACAGCAAGAGCAAAAATTGGCAACGAACTCACTGAAAGCGTGCAGATCAAAAGGGTGTCCGTCAGGGGTGTATATTATCCCCACTCCTATTCAATATGTATTCCGAGGAAATATTTAACAAATGTATGGAAAATGCAAATGAGGGCATTAAAATAAACGGCGAGTTAACGAACAATATAAGATACGCCGACGACACGGTGATCCTTGCCAGTACCATAGACGAATTACAACAAGTAATGGAAAGACTTTATTCAGTTAGTGAGGAATACGGCCTGAGCCTCAACTTCAAGAAGACAAAGTGGATGCTGATAAGCAAAAAGCAACAACCTGCTCGACAATTACGGATAAGTAACATATTAATTGACCATGTAGAATCTTATGTGTACCTTGGCACCAACGTAAATGCAAAATGGGAACAGACCATAGAAATTAAGGCGAGAATAGAACGAGCTAGAGCAGCATTTAGCAATATGAAAAAGCTCCTCATAAGCAAGGATTTGTCTCTTCCCCTAAAACTACGTATAGTTAAATGCTACATTTTTCCGATCTTGCTGTATGGCGTGGAGGCCTGGACGCTGACGGAGACGCTAACGAGAAAACTAGAAGCATTCGAAATGTGGGTGTACCGACGCATTCTTCGTATATCCTGGACCGAACATGTCACCAACATAGAGGTACTCCAAAGAATCGGAAAGGAGAAAGAAATCGTGAATACAATTAAACAAAGAAAGCTTGAATATCTAGGCCACATATTGAGACACGATAAGTACCGTCTGCTACAATTGATTGTCCAGGGAAAAATAGACAGTAAGCGAGGGCCAGGCAGGAGAAGACACTCGTGGCTCCAAAATCTGCGGAAGTGGTTCGGGCTCACATCGGTCGAACTATTCAGAAGCGCCGCAAACAAGATCAAAATTGCCATGTTAATAGCCAACGTTCGCAACGGACAGGGCACTTGAAGAAGAAGAAGACTTATTCACATATTCTCTTAATCTTCTAAAACTATCATTAGCGATCAGATTCACAGCCATAATCAGTCGGCGATACATGAAACTGTATATAAATTTTCGTTACTTTTTAATATCCGTAACGACTCGGTACTTTAACTATCAATAGCCGGTATGTTATACCCGTTACTTTCGGAACTTTTAAGAGTACATAAACTCAAAGCAAACAAATATTTAAAACTAACAAAGTGAAATATTAGATCCTTTTTCTGGTTTGTGAACCATCGTTCTGCCAATTTCTTTTCATTTATATTCAAAATAGTATATTTCTTTTTATTACAGTTATAATACCTAATAAAGTAATAAAATGTGTTATATCAAAGAAACCCGGCACGCCTCTTTGGTGTTTGTACATTTCACGGAAAGCTTACCCAAATGTCTGATGAACACATTTGGCTTCATAGACGTCATTGTATTTATTTGTAGATTTTAACTGAAATAATTTTAGTTTAGATGTCATACTAGTAGACCCTTTTTATTGGAATAATGATTAGACCAATTGACCTTCATACTTCTACTTGCACAGTAAAATATTCGTTGTCGCAGTAAACCAAAACAGTCGTATATTCGTGGAATAGCCTTATACGTTAATTCTTTAATATAACACAGAACAATTTTTTCTGGAGTTCAGAGATTTGTCAGTCTGTAGAGAATTGATTTCTTTGAGCTTGCTATTAAAAAGTGGTTTTCATCAAAATAGTGAGTTAAGAGGTTTGCTAATTTGTGTATTGTTATGTAATTAAATATTAAAAATACTTTATTAAAAAAAATATTTAATTTTTCCAAAAATGTTATATCTCGTGTTTGTGTTTTTTTGTAAAATATATTAATAATAAATCATTTTTCTTCCTTCATTTGTACAATCAGTAACGGTGTCAGTTCTAGATAATTCAGTCATGACTTACTTAAAATCTGTAAAAATTTATAATCGGTTCACAATTTGTCGATAGCTCATTACAAGTTTAATCCTAATTAGAGAACTGAAATACAGAGAGGATCGGTAATACGATATAATAGTAAAAACCAACCTGAAACTGACGGTTTAAGATGTTTTCAACTAACCCACTTTGAATCTAAAGGAATACAATACAGCGATTAACCTTATAATCCGATTACGAAGGTATTTTGGTTACAGATGACCGACTAGTGTCGTAGAGTATATGATTGAAACATTTATTTGAACTAAATAAATATATTTTTTAAATTGTATTTTTGTTTTAATAAAACTTCTTTATTTTATTCAAAAATAAAAAGTTTCTTGCCATTTGTAAAAGATACATTTATTTAATTAAGGAGAAATTCGCCAAATGTCGCTTGGCAAAATTTCAATTTGTTTTAAATGTATCCATTATTTTCGAATCCGGAGAAAACTAATAAATATTTTTGAAAAATTTAAACGCAGAATGAAAGATTACATTATTAATGAGGGTAGAAAGTCCCTGTAAACTTCTACAATGTTTATTTTAATATGTTATGTAACAGGGGTGAAAATAAAACAGAAAATAAATTCTAATAAATATTTCATTCTGCCTTTAAATTTTTCAAAAATGTTTTTTAGTTTTCTCAGGATTTGAAAAAAAAATGGATACATTTAAAACACATTTAACATTTTGACAGGCGACATTTTGCGCGTTTTCCCTTTAATACCTTACGATTACAACTACTATTTACTTACCTTATATAATTACGATTAAAAAACTATTCAAATTCAAAATAAATAGGATCAACTTTGGAATCCAAGTCGTCTTGAGGGTTAATAATTAGCGTTTGTGTCTCTACGGTCGCATCAATTATGTTATCAATATCCCACATTTTTTGTTCTTCTTCTATTACATGTCTTTCTGCATCTTTCCAGTTTTGTTCTGCAATATGTTGTAAAGACTCGTATAACAATTCACGTACAGCTTATATTTTATATGACGTACTTTTTCTAGCCACATAACTTTTCATTTGTGCCCAAATGAGTTCAATTGGATTTTTTTCGCAGTGGTAGGGTGGAAGTCTAAGAACTGTGATGTTTCGCATTTCCGCCATTTTGTCAACTACGTATTTCTTGAACATAGATTTGTGTTGCCGGGCAATTTTTAAGTTCTGCTTTTATCATTTAATCTTCGTAAGGCAGATACTTATTCCGTAGCCAGTCAAGAATATCCTATTTCTTCCACGCAGTCGTTGGAAGTCTTTCTACTAGTCGTGAATGATAAGGTGCATTATCTAATACTATAATTGAATTTGATGGTATGTGTTCAATCATCTGCTCAAAATACTCTTCGAAAACATCAGCTGTCATCTCCTCGTGATAGTCTTTTGTGCTTTTGGATTGAAATTCCAACAAACCATGCTTAACAAATCCTTTTTCACTGCCAATGTGAGAAATTATTAATCTACTGCCTTTACCAGAAGGTGGGAAGATACCAGTAGACCAACCTTCCATATAGGCTTGCCTGGAGCTTAATATATTTTTATCTGACCAAATTTTTTTTAGAGTATGACCTGAGTTTACTCACGTATCTCCTCCCGGTCAATCAAAAGTGATTTTCGGTCTGATTTCTCCCACCGGAAATTTAATTCTTTTAAAACTTGCCACAATTTAGATTGGGTATAAAAAGCCGGCATTTTTATACCCATTATATTATTAAAAATCTGGGGAATTCCATCCTAATTATCTTGCAACGAATAGTACCTTCGGATGTGAATTCCAGGTTTTCTAGTAAAGTGATTAAACGCGAAGATTACTATTGAAATATCCAAAGAGATAAGGTATTCTTATTTACAAAATTGTTAATGGTAAATTCTTATTTTTATTAATATAATATAATAACCAACATTAGCCGTGAAAGTTTTAATTGTTTTTTGCTAAATATATTAGTATTGAAACATTATTAATATTAATATTAATTTTATATTTATTCCGCAGCTAGTCAAGAATTTAAATATTCCGTTCCTCAGGAACGCCTATGATGATACAAATTTTACGACGGTTTTATGACTTTGAGGCACATTTCGTGCTATCAACAATTTGTGAACGGATAATAGATACCTACTTAATAATTTACTTTGAAAAATGAAAATATCTCAAAAACTAATAAATTTAGACATGGGGAATATTAAACAAAAATTGGAGTATTTAAACAATAATAAATCAGTTTGATATCTTAATATCCACCTTTCTTGAAACATCAGCAAGTATTTTAAACTTTATTATTAAACCTTCATATTTTAGCCTGAATTTGAGAAGTGTACCACAAAACACAAACTTTTTTTGTAATTAGAATTTTAGTATTGTAAAATTATTAGGATGACTCTGTAAGATTTTTCTCTGTCTTTTTTAATATATAATTCACTATCGTACATTCAAAAAGGTGGTATGGATATATCGCTAATCTTAAGATTTGTGTTTTTATAGATATTAGATATAAACTTTATAAACAGTTTAATCGCCAATTAGAGATATTAGTAAATAGAAGATAAAATACAGATTGGCAACTGATATTTATGGTTTCGATACAATTAATCAGACTTTATACAAAATTTTAATGATTTGTTGATAAAGTTGTATATAGTACATGATTCATTTTTTTAAGTAAAATTGTATAATAATGTACTTATAAGAAAGCTTGTGTATAGATATTAAAGTGGAAATAAGAAAGATATACAAAAAACTTAAAACATAGAAATCAATTATCAAGGAAAAGAAAAAGATAAATATGATCATAAATCATGTCAAACATAATGTAAAATTATTTTCGGGTAAAAAAAAATTAATAATAAAGGTTGCGTTTACGCACCTTTGGCCGTTTACGGCCAAAGGTGCGTAAACGCAACCTTTATTGTTAATTTTTTTTGGCCCGAAAATAATTTTTTTAATGTTTTCTTTTTATTGAAGTAACATCTCAATAGATTGAGGTAAATAGTATCATTTTTCTTTTGACAAAAATATTACTTTTTAAATATTTTAAGACTATTATAATTTTGCATAATTTAATGATTTATGCACATCTTCATACAAAAATTTTTCCGATACTAATTATAAACTTAATTCATATTTTGTATTCTATAATTATAAAAATATGTTGAAATTTTTATTATTCTAAAAACTTATTCATTCATATATCAAAATAAGGTCTATAATTACATGCTTATACGATGGATTCGTATACGCACCTTTGGCCGAAACCATATTATATTTTTTTCGTAGACTAAAAAATCTGAAATTACGATCTCGTCAATAGTCAATACACTTCATTCACTATTTATAAAATTGCTGTGTGCTGTAAACGTTATATTTGCTTTTTTCTTGACTTAAATCACTTTGAAAGTTTCCTTGTGTTTATTTGTTTTATATTCCATATAAGTTGAAATGAGGTAAGCTAAATTATTATCATATGAATGCGTGTATATAGTAGTAGTAGTGCATTTTTTTGTTTATTTTAGTAAATTCTCGAAATATGAAATGAAGAGGGCACTAACTACTAAAGAGTTAATGGCTTTGTTAGAAGAAGACTCAGACTGTGAAAATGCTGACTCACTTGATGTAGTTTATGTGCCGCCGGAAACAGATGAAATTTCCGATGTAGAAGACATTGATGATAATATTATTGGTGAAGAAGGAATAAAAACAGATATTGCAGGTACATATGAAATAAAAGTGAATGGGAATTCTGGCGATTCTGATGATGATATTCCTCTGAACGACAGATCAAAACGTCCAAAGAAAGAACCAGGCAAAAATAATAAATCCAAATTTGTCCCAAGTTGGGTAAAAACAGATACTCCTTCGTACTCGGCAGTAATTCAACATCAGTCTGATCGATATTTAGAAAATATAAAAGCCAACCATGGAGCAAGTCACCTATTGAAGTTTTTTTCACTCTTTTTTGATAAAGAAGTAAGTGAGAGCATTCGATATTTTACAAATCTTTATGCATCGCAGAATAACCGTCACAGATTTACAGATTTAAAAAAAATTATTGGCATATGTATATTATCTGGTTATCACACTCTGCCTCAAGTTGATTGATATGTATTGGTCGAAGGATGAGGATAAAGAAGTGCACATTGTAAGAGAAAGCATGAGCCGACATAGATTTATCCGACAAAGAAAACAGAATTATGAAAAAAAAAAGGAAAGAGGTTCATATACATGGGCATTCGATTCCAATTTAGAAGTTTTGGTGACAAGATGGAACGATAATTCAGTAGTAACTGTAACGACAAATACATGTGACGTTTTACCCCTTATGCAAACTAAACGTTATAATCGTAAAGAACACAAAGAAATTCTTATCCCTCAGTCTAATGTAATTCGCCAATATAAACAATACATGGGTGGAGTGGATCTGCATGATAATGGCATTGCGAATTACCGTATTAAAATAAGAGGAAAAAAGTGCTGGTGACCGTTATTTACTAACATGATTGACAGTATGGTGGTCAATAGTTGAAAAATTTTTAAAATTGCGAATGATTCTAAAATTTCCCAACTGGAGTTTCGTTCGAAATTGGTTCTTAACTTACTAAAATATAGTGGACATGCAGAGAATAGTGAAGAAACCGCTACATCATTGTCAAACTCAGTATATGGACGTCCATCTAAATTTGCTTTACCAGATGAAACTAAATTCGACAATATTAGCCACATTATAAAAAGAGACGATAATAGTGCAAGAAGAAAATGTCGGATGTGCAAAAGTAATACCATTTATTTATGTAAAAAGTGTAAAGTGCATCTACACCCCGAATGTTTCGAAAATTTTCATCTTAAAATTTAATTTACAGTTAAGATATAATATGAAATCGTAGGCTTCCACGGCCAGAGTCAGAATTATAGTTTATTCGTCTTCCGGGTTTGGACCGTGTCATTTGTGAGTGACCCAAAAGTGGGTTCATCTCGACGTTTCGCTACAATTGTATGTAGCTTCTTCAGGAGAACAAAGAAAAAGAAAAAGAAAACAAAAGACAGAAGATGGGTAGTTAGCAACGGTAACTCAGTTACTCAACGCAACCAGAGGCGAATACTAACTACCAAGATGGGCATTTTGGTCACAGTAACTCAACCACTCAACGCAGCCAGAGGTGAAAACCAAATGCCAGGACAGGGATTCACGTCCAACAGCTCAGAACACTAACGCGTCGAGAGGCAGGGAGTGAATCCGACGATTACTCCGCTACCGCTCTATTTTTTCCGTTTTAACCGTTCTAAATAGAGCGGTAGCGGAGTAATCGTCGGATTCACTCCCCGCCTCTCGACGCGTTAGTGTTCTGAGCTGTTGGACGTGAATCCCTGTCCTGGCATTTGGTTTTCACCTCTGGCTGCGTTGAGTAGTTGAGTTACTGTGACCAAATGCCCATCTTGGTAGTTAGTATTCGCCTCTGGTTGCGTTGAGTAACTGAGTTACCGTTGCTAACTACCCATCTTCCTGTCTTTTGTTTTCTTTTTCTTTTTCTTTGTTCTCCTGAAGAAGCTACATACAATTGTAGCGAAACGTCGAGATGAACCCACTTTTGGGTCACTCACAAATGACACGGTCCAAACCCGGAAGACGAATAAACTATAAGATACAATATGTTCCTTTTTTAAAAATTGTATAATAATGGCCCTCGATAATAATGTATTCTTTCATTCTGCGTTTAAATCTTTCAAAAATATTTGTTAGTTTTCTCAGGATTCGAAAAAATGAATACATTTAAAAAGCATTGGCCCGAAATTTTGCGCCGACGCTGTTAAGTCAATACTTTGTTTGCACATTACCTTTTTCATCAAAAAACGAAATTTAGATATTCATTATTTAATTATTTTATATAATTTAATAATTTTTTACTACGGATTTAACTACGTTAGACTACTCACGGAGTAGTATCGATATCCATTAGAATAGTAAAACATAAAATAAAAATTAACATACACTTGGTACTTACTTCATCGACGTAGTGTACATGATGTGACTTATACTTCTTTTTAAATTGATCCAAAGGAGTGAGAGGACCCATCCATACAGCATACTCTACTGGAAGACGAGGAAAGAATAAATGGCTATCTCCTGTTACAACATCTATGATTCCATAGCAGTCAGCTTCAGTAACTCCAAAACACCAATTGAAGTACGCTTCCTAAAAAATTGTAAGTACTGGTTCAAACAACCAATATAGGTAGGCTTAATAATCTGGCTAAAGACATACAATGAAGATAAAACCATGAGAAAAAAAGGTTACAATTATCTAGATCAGAACAAATCTAGATCTAGAACAAAGGCTGTAGATGTTAAAATCATAGATCTAGAACAAAGGCTGTAGATGTTAAAATCAATACTCGGCTGTATTCTTATTCGGGATAGGTTACTCGAAAGTACATATTTAGAAAGCCTTTTCTCTCCTATCGCAAAAATTGGGTTTTTTCGAGAAAATATTTCCTGAACGATCCTTTGACTTATTAAAAATTCTGAAAAAATTCATAAATATATATTTTCACGCCCAAAAAAACTGTTTTTTTCTTCAGATTTTGTTGATCAAAATTGAGCTCCGAAAAAATATTTGAATTTTCCAAAGAATTTTTAGGTCATGTGGGTATTGGCAAACTTCTAAATAATTATTTTGTCTGTATATTTTTACGTTCTTTTGAATATCGGGGTTAGATTTGCCATTTTCTGTCCGGAACATCCTCAAAATTCGAAAAACAAATTTTGTTGGTATTTTCCCTCATGTTTTTAGCACTCAACTGCATGTCAATAAATCGAGGGCTGAGAACCATAGGGTTCCAAGCGACATTCACAAACTTTTTCAAGAAACGAATTTTACAGTTTTCTGTCAAATAAAATGGTTCTGACAATAGACAATAATAGCCTATACCATGATGTTGGAAGAATTTTTAAAAACAAAGGAAGAAGAAAATTAACTAAGATTGGAAAATAACGTTTATTTATAAACTGTTCCGATTCAGAAGTCAAATATTTTATGTAGTTCTGATCTTCCAGTGGCATCCATTTATACGAAAACTCAATATGCTCAAGCTTTTTCTCAGTCAGAGATTTGGGTTTTGTATTATCGGCGGGAGCTACTACAAAGTTAGCAGTTGAATTATTTATAGGAACCACTCTTTGTTTCTTTCTAGTACTGCTAGTAACTGTACCAACATTTACTGTAGAAAATTCGGCGCTGTGATTATTCAGCTTATACTGAACAGTAAACATGTCTCCTTGCATAAAACCAAGTTGACATGCTTTAGTGTAAGGTATTTTATTATATTGGTATAATGATTTTGCTGTTTTTTAAACTTTTTAAAATGTGTTAGTTCCATATTAATCACAAATACTGGAAACGCAAACTCGCAAACAGGAAAACATCTACATCACATATATCACAAAATGGAGTCCCCCAAGGCTCAGTTCTGAGCCCCACACTATTCCTTCTTAGCATAAACGATATAAACTCTCTTGTTCTTCCTCCAATAAAATACTCAATATATCTCATACTCAATTTCATCTAGAAAATCTTAAGTCATAAACTTCTCTAGAAGACATCACACTGACCCTCCTCTACTTCACCTAAATTATTAGGAGTAATATTCGAAAAAATACTTACATGGAGAGATCAGATATAGAATACAAAAATAAACTGCCTAAATAGAATCAATATCTTAAAAACTCTATCTCACCATCAATGGGGGGGCAGAAGAGAAAGTCTTCTTAAGAATTTACAGAACATTGATCCGCTCTAGGTTGGATTACGGAATCATTCTTTACATGTCTGCTTCCAATACTCACCTTAAATGTTTGAATAAAATTCACAACACTTCTTTACGCATTAGCGTAGGCGCCTTTAAATCAAGTCCTTCTGAAAGTCTTTATATCGAATCTTGAGAACCTCCACTTTTTATAAGACGGCAACGTCTACTTCTGTCTTACTTCTCTAGAATGTCTGCTAATCCAAAAAACCCAGAAATTAAATTAATTAATACTCCCCACCCTGTCCCAGATAATAGTCACCCTCGAGCACATTCTCTCTCACAAATTTTAAAAACTTTACTAAAAGACATGGACCTAAAACTCACAACTCCGTTTACTACGTCCAGAATTCCCCCGTGGACCAAAAAACTACCTACTGTTCTTGCCAGCTTGAACCGATACAAAAAAGAAGAAACTCCCAGAACTCTCTTGGTACAAGTATTTGAGGAACTTATACAGACACAGCGTTATGACAAAATTCTCTACACAGATGCCTCCAAAAAAGAACAGGCCATCGGTTGTGCCGTCAGTACCTCAAACACAACAATAGCGTCACATCGGCTTTCTCCCAGATGCAGTATACACACAGCCGAACTGTATGGAATACTTAAGGCATTAGACTCGCCCATTGCTAATGAGAAATCATTAGCAATATGCACCGACTCTCTCCGCCATTGACTCAATCAGAAATATATACTCCATACATCCCATTGTACCGGGTGGTCCAATAAGCCGATCTCTCGGCCATATTGCAGAAACTATTCATGTTATAACTTTAGTAGAAAAAATTCGTTAGTAAAAGTGGCTAAGAGAAATCGCTGGAAATAACTTTCAAGATTCTGGATTAACCGCTAGGGGCGTAACCTGCGAAGAAAATTTTGAAAACCAGTTTTTTGGGAAATATGTCCAATTAAATTAAATATGCAGGCATAAATTCTGCACAAAGTTGTTCAAGTACTTTTTTTTTATTTTTTCAAATAAAGGGGGGGGGAGAGTGGGAAAATATTTGTGGATAAATACCTATAACTTTGATTTGGATCAACCGATTTTAACAAAATTAGTGTCATTAGAAAGAGTATGGATGAATTAATTTACATCTACCATAAAATAATTGCATTTAGTTTTAATTGTCGTAGGTAAAGGGTACTTTCGAATAGAAAAAATTAAAATTTGTTTTTCTTCAAAATTTTTAATGGAAACACCTATTTATTGTAAATTATAATGGAACTGGATTAAATTCGTAACAAAATGGCGCAAACCGCATGTTAATAGCTTTTATCGAACTCGAGATATGAATAAAAACACATAAACATAAGTAAGTATAGTATTGACACACCCTGTATTATAAAATAAATTAAAAAATAAGTCAGTAGGTACTTTCAAAATTTTTTGTAGCAGAAAACTCTTAATGTTGATACCTATTTTGACCATTGTTATTTCATATGATTAAAATTTTTTTTTTCGAAACTAAGTAGGTAATGAATTTGCCAGGGAGTTCATATTGTTTATTTATTGACAGCAGTCAAAATATTGTTAAGAAGTGTTATATGTAGTATAATTCGAATTGAAAATTGGACTTTTTTCAATAGATATTAATATTGGTAATATTAGTAATTAATTATCAGTACTAATAATTCGTGATGAGTATATCAAATTGTATTTTATGATTGGAGTTTATTTCGAATATCACCAAAATGGCGCTATTGCCTCACGTATATATTCTGTAAGATATCCTGGCAGGAGATATTGTGGCAAAGAAGTAGAGATTTCGGACTACTTATATGTGGATTCTGTTGAATTAAAGCAAGAACATTGATTGAATTATCTTCGGTCATAACTCTACTACGTCGTTTAAAACAAGGACGAGAAAAACTACCAGTTTCTCTTAATCTTTTTGCTTTTCTTTCAAATACTTCTTTGCCATAATGTCTCCTGTCACGGTATCTTACAAAATATATACGTGAGGCAATAGTGGCATTTTGGTGACATTCGAAATAAACTCCAATCATATCATACAATTTGATATGCTCATCACGAATTATTTGTACTGATAATTAATTACTAATATTACCAATATTAATATCTATTGAAAAAAGTGCAATCTTTAATTAAGTGCTATATTATAATTTAATTCGAATTATAATATAGCACTTCTGAACAATGTTTTGACTGCTGTCAATAAATAAACAATATGAACTCCCCGTCAAATTCATTGTCGTAGTCTACTTAGTTTCGAAAAAACTTTTTTTTACAAAATAGGTATCAACATTAAGATTCTTCTGCTATAAAAAAATTTGAAAATACCTACTGACTTTTTTTTTAGTGTAATTTATAATACAGGGTGTGTCAATACTATACTTACTTATGTTTATGAGTTTTTATTCATATCTCGAGTTCAATAAAAGCTATTAACATGCGGTTTGCTCCATTTTGTTACGAATTTATTCCAGTTCCATCATAATTTATAATAAATAGGTGTTTCCATTAAAAATTTTGAAGAAAAACAAATTTTAATTTTTTTTATTTGAAAGTCCCCTCTACCTACAACTATGAAAACTAAATGCAAGTATTTTATAGTAGATGTGAATTAATTCATCCACACTATTTCTAATGACACTAATTTCATTAAAATCGGTTGGGCCAAACCAAAGTTATAGGTATTTATCCACAAATACTTTCCCACTCTCCCCCACCCTTTATTTGAAAATAAAAAAAAAGTACTTGAACAACTTTGTGCAGAATTTATGCCCCTTTTTAGTTTACTCATTTAACACTTGGTATAATTGGACAAATTTCCCAAAAAACTGGTTTTCAAAATTTTCTTCGCAGGTTACGCCCCCTAGCGGTTAATCCAGAATCTTAAAAGTTATTTCCAGCGATTTCTCTTGGCCACTTTTACTAAGGAATTTTTTCTCCTAAAGTTATAACATGAATAGTTTCTGATATATAGCCGAGAGATCGGCTTATTGGACCACCCGGTACAGTGCATCCACAGTATCTACCAACAACAGTCAAAAAATGGTGTTTCACTAACTATCATCTGGATACCATCCCATGTTGGTATCAATGGAAATGACAACGCTGATCATGCAGCAAAACTGGCCTGCTCCTTAGAAAATATGGAAAACATACAACTTCACCAAGACCTAAAGGCCAGTATCAAGAACAATATACTAAGCACTTGGCAAACACATTGGAACATGCAAAATACAAAACTACGCACAATTCAACCAACTGTTAGAAATGTTCCAAAACCTCGTAGACCTCGTAAATGCGCATGCCCGAAAAAATAAATGGATCCTAAAAACATGTACCATTTTAATTTCATAGGAAATTTTCTAGTAATTCCAATAAACATGACATATTATGTTTCTCTAATCTTAAACATTCCAGTTAGTCATCGCATTTTTATTTTTTCTCACATTGGAGTATTAAAAATTTACGACTTCCCGTCTTCACTGCCGATAAGAATTGCTGTGTAAAAATGTAAAATATTTACATAGCTCTAATTTGGCTTATAAATAAACCTTTTAAGAACTGAAAAAAATCTAGAGCACAAATAAATAAATAACAAATTAATGTATGATAGAAAAATAAAAATATGTTGATACGAAACGAAAACCTCGAATTCCTTGGGGAAAATATTCGCATGAGATTTTTTGCATAATCTCTTTCATAAAAGACCGCAGAATATTATTCAAGAGGTCGCCCATACAAAAAGTGGTCTTAATTTATTAAATAGTTTTGTATAAATCCATTTTTAGGTTGGGATAAAGCCCTCAAACAACTAAAAACAATGTTTTAAAATCAAATAAGCCCAAACTCAAGTATCAGAAATTGATAGAATTTTTGGTGAATTCAAAAATAATTGTGTGTTTTAAAGCCGCTTTTCGTTTTTTTCCGTTTTAGATTGTTTATATGTTATAAAATAAAAATATAAAAAGCTATTTCACTAACGCAAAAACTAGTTCGTCTTTGTCTCGCTACGATAACGCACTGAAGAGAACTGCATATTTTTAGCAATGCCTGATTTCGTTGTTTCGTTCGTAGATCGACGTCACTAAATGATTACGTCTGGTCCAGGACATTATGAATTATCTTTACCTCCATCACCATGCCTCAAATGAGCAGAAAAGACAGTATCATTATCAGAAGGCTCAGAATAGGTCACACTCGTCTTACTCATGGATATCTGATGTCTTCTGAAAACCATCGTCGCTGTGAACATTGTAATGAGTCCTTAACAGTCCAATACATATTACTAGAATGTGTCCACTACAAACATCAAAGTGACTACTACAACTTTCAAAATAATTTAAGTGATCTACTCAGTTCTACAAACATGTACAGTGCCATAATATGTTTTCTACAAGACTGTCACATTTACTACTTAGTGTAATTATATTAGATGTTGTTAATGTATCGTAACTTGTATATAAACAGATTGTGTATGTATGTGAACATAAACATATTGTAATCAATTTTGTACCAGTGTCAATGGCCCATAGTTGCGGAGAAACTTTAATTTAAAATAAATAAAAAAAAAAAATCGTAAATGTCCTGAACATTTAAAACTTTCGAATAAAAGAACAAACTGGACCAGATCTAGAGAAGAAATAAACATCTTCATCTGAAAAGTGATAGTGATATCAAAAGACAGAAATTACCTACAAACACAACTCCGAAAGATTTCCTGCTCACATAAATAAACTTTTATTGAAAAAAGAAAACTGCGAAAGAGGTGGCAGCTCACTAGGCATCCAAAAGATCAAGCAAATCTTAATAGAGCTTGCTGACTATTCAAAAGATAATTGATCCAACATAAAGACAATGGAATCAACAAATGCAGAAGATACAGATTATTCCCTGTGGAAACTTAAATGCTATGAACAAATGAATATGACAAGCAGGAAACTTTGTTCTCAGTATTGTTTTTTCTGTATTAAACTTTGTTTGTTAAATTAAAATTAAGTAATTAATTGTTATGTCATAGATTAAATTTATAATATTATACATATGTCTTACCTGGGTGCTCGCCACTGGGCAGCTTCCCACTATGGTTATTGTACATAACTTATACATATTGCTTATTATTTGTAATGAGACAGAATATTATCCCGCTATAACTTTTTATGAAAAAATAAATACATATAGACATTAAAATAAAAAAGTATGAAAACTTGGAAATAATACTTGGAGGAACTGGAGAAATGGACCGTTATATCTTAATATTAAGCTTCAGTGAATTCAAAAAAGGTATGATAACACTACAATAGACACATATTATATTATTCTGGTAGAAAAGCACCGCAGAGACATTAAACAACAAAGTTTTATTAAGTTGTTTGGTGTACTATAAGATCTATTAATACAGGCAATATACCATTATTAACATAAAAATCGCTGATACTTCAATTTTATTAAGCAAATGGAAAACACTTACCTGTCTGAAGAGGTAGCTTGTGTCCGAGTCATAGATGGAAACCTCAGATCCACCTTGGAGAACCACAACAGAGTTTTCTACAACTTTTTTCAATCGTTCCACAAGTCTCTTTCTATTGGTTTCATATAGTATGGGGGGAATTTCAAAAGTATGAGAGCCCATAGACAGTGTTCTATAAATTTTGATAATCATGTTTGTATATATATAAAATAAATAGTATAATTAAAATAAATTTAAATACGAAAATATTTTTCTGTTAGAATATCATATAAATTTTTTATTTTTAAGTAAGGATTGAATTTCCCATGTTATTTTTTTCTTAATAAAAATAACATAATAACTATACTATAAGTGGTTTTTACATTTTATCTACCAGTTCCCAATCTTTGATTTATCTATTTATTCTATTTATCTCAATCTCCTTCTGTATGTTCTGTGTCACTATCATCATTCAATTCAATAATAAATTTATTTACACCATTTATCCCTAATGCTACAAAAAATCATGTGCAGATCAATCCTAGCCTAAGTCGAATTGTATACATTAATTAAAAAGGATAGACCACTTTATAATAGATATATTGGACACACTTTTAGCAGAACATGAAATTTCGACATTGCATCTATCATCTCCTCACCTGGAGCTGAACACAATTGAAAAATATAGGCACAAGTAAATAATGAATTAGCCGAATGTAATGTCTCATTCAAATTAGATGATTTACTCCAGCTAGCAGAAGAAAAATTTCAAGAAGTAACAATTCAAAACTGGCAAACCATTTGCTCCCACATAGAGAGAATTGAAGAAGAGGTATATGGAAATAGAGTACATTATGGATGAGGTGCAAGATTTAATAATCAATGTTGGAGAAGATACCAGTAAGAGTGAATCAGAACTGTCTGGCAATGAATCAGAATACGATAATTTAGGTTGTCAACTATTAAATTAATAAAAATTTCAATTTTAATAGTTTTTATAATAATGTATTTAATATTTACAATTTAAACATAATTGCAAACAATCTCACATCTTATTACTTGAAAATTAAATAAAAACATTTTGAAATATTATCGAAATATATTTATCTTAGTTTTTTTTTCTAACCTTTTTGTATTATGCATTTGTTCTTTTTCCTAATCTGAACTACCCATATACCTATGTTCCAGACACTTATAATTATTCAAATCCAGTTGAGAAATGTAGGAATTAACTACATTTGGAACTAATATGTTTCTATGTTCAGGTCTGAAGCTGTTTTCAAAATGAAAATTTATAAAAAAATTAAATTCATCAAGTGTTAATTTCACAATTATTGTTAATTTCAATAGAAATTTGTGTTAATTTGACAATTATTGTTAATTTCAATAGAGATATAGAACAATATTTGTAATTTCCTCTTAAATGATCCTAACTAACGTGAATAAATAAAGACTAGCACTCAATACTACTGTTCAGCTGGAAAACCTATCTTACTGGACTAGAACATATTGCTTTCTTAAGATCAAGTAATATTATATGTTGCTTTTGTCTGTTTATGTGGTGCTAGGTCTCCCCATTAGTTGGCTGGGGTGTCTTTAAATATGTCTTTATAATGAACTTTTAATAAATATAATGTCACCGCTGTAAATAATTGTTGGACTTTGTAATTTAACAATAAAATGTTTCAATTAATTTGACAATAAGAGGAATAAAGAATTTAACAAACCACTTGTTGACCTTTGTTGTGTACACAAATTATCTAAAGTACCCATAAAAGTCTTTTGTTAAGATCTGATCTTGTGCAAAATGCAAAATAGGAAAATTTATTTTTTAACTTTTTAGAATAAAAAGTATTTATGTATAACTTTAAATAGTTTCCTTCATAAAGTATTGGATTTCCATTTTTAGATCAGTTTAATAATGACAAAACATATTTCTGTCTCTATTTTTGATTACCTTATTTTAATACCAAGAGTTTTTTGTATAATTAAACATTGTTTCAATGCAAATATTTAATTATTTATGTTAGCATTAAAAACTTTTTATTGTTAGTATTGATAATTATTTGTAATAAAAGAATAAAAAGGTCAAATTATCTTACACTAACACTTTATTTCTATTAACAAAAATAAACTTACCCTACATGTTTATTTGCCATTATGCCTACACAATCTGAAACCACAATAGCTGATAAATCCTCTTTTATATGTCGTGATAAGTAATCTAGCCTGATTTGTTTATTATTTATTGTGTGTGAACTATAAAATGTAAAATAACTGGTATCTGGTATCTTTTATACACTGTAGGTTATCTATATTTGAAATAAAATCAGCTGATTGCATGTCAAAAGGAACATATGGGCAAAAGTTCCCATATTGTCCACTGAAGCGCTGTAAAACGACGACTGTCATGTGAATTATTGTGAATTCCAATGTTTTTTTTTCAAATTCAACTTGAAACTTGATTTAACAAAACGTATATACCTACATAACTTATAGTGACTATTCAGATTTAAAATATAATTTTTACAGTTTACTTATAATAAACAACTAGGATGTCTTTCCTAGGTAATTCCCAAATTAGTAGAAAAAAAATTAAACCTATAAAAATCAACGGCAAATTTGGGAAGCAACTATTTCCCAAAAAGACTCTAGAAGCATAAGTTTGATTAGTCCCACAAGTTTAAAATTATTTTTATACACGATAGAATATTAGGTATATCCAATAGGATAATTATTATAGATCAATTTTAATTTGGATTTAGAAACCTAAAATGACCTGAAAAAGGCATTGGAATTAATAATAATTTAGTCATCATCATCAACCTGTATGCGTCCACTGCTGGACATAGGTCTCCCTCAGTTCTTTCCATCTGTGTCTGTCTTGTGCGGCTTGCATCCACTTATTGCTAACACACTTCAGGTCGTCTAATATTAGTCATTATTTGCGTCTTGTTCATATTAATCTTTAGTCCGACCTCCAAAGAAGCCTGATATAATTTTTCAAACATTATTATTGCATCATTCATACGATCGGCTATTAGGACGATGTCATCTGCAAATCTCAAATGACTGAGCTTCTCTCCATTTATGTTAATACCATGCTCGTTCAGATGTGCCTTCTTACAAGTTTGTTCTAAAAGCGTCGTGAATAGCTCTCCAAAACTCTATTTAGTATCCAGAGTTAATTCAAAGAGCTGGAGATCTATAGAATAATTTCGTAATATGTTACGAAATAGGTTTCGATAATGTAGGTAAACCACAATAAACAACTGTCGATATTTTTAGAAAAACAGAATTAAAGATAATAATATAAGAATGTTAGCAAATTTAAATAATATAAAGAAATTGTAAGGGTAGATAATGAGTATTCCAAAAAAGAGAAACTTTTTTACATGTTTATTTCATAGCTTGAGTAAAAATATGGGTAAAATAATATAACACCCTAATTATCATTCTATTAATTTTATTGTTGTCGTTTATATAAGAACATAGGTACATTGTTTTTGAGAAACTAGCTTTCAAAATTTCAAACTTGGACTTTGTATTCGATACGTAAACAATTATATTATTTTAAAGTTCTATGCGATTTCGGGGATAAAGGGGTAGAATGCGAATATATAGAGTTGATTCCAGTTTACTCCAATTAGCCTCTTCTACTCAAATCCGACTCTCACCTTCACGATGGTGTCCCCTGTTAACCGAGCAACCCAGCTGGAGATCCGGTATCCAACCCCAGGTGGAAAGTTGGGTCAGGAACTGACGAGAGCGGCTAAAATGGCCCTCCGAAAAGGGGGGTTTGGCGTTGGGTTAACTACCCAACCCTGTAAAAACCCATAGTTATGAAATCTAAAGTTAAAAATGCTGGACGGAAATCTCGACGACGACCTATGCAACGAAATAAGGACAACGATCTTAAAGTATTTACCTGGAATGTTCGCACACTCAACGAACCTGGAAACATCCGAAAACTGTCTGACATATTAGCACAATATAACGCTGATATTACTGCAATACAAGAAGTACGATGGACAGGCCATGGCATAATCTAAAAAACAAACTACAATATATACTACAGTTGCCATAGAACTAGACATGAATTTGGGACAGCCTTTATAGTCAGTAATAAAGTCAAGCATTTGGTTATAGATTTTAAGCCAATAAATCCACGAATGAGCTGCTTAAGGATCAGGGCTAAGTTTTTTAATATTAGTCTTATTAATGTACTTGCCCCAACAGAGGACAAGGAAGACGAAGAAAAAGACAATTTCTATGAGGAATTAGAAAGAACGTATGACAGTTGTCCCAGAAATTACATTAAAATAGTAATCGGTGATCTGAACGCAAAAATCGGAAGGGAAGAAATATATCTACCGCACATCGGTAGATATAGATCGGTAGATAAATTGATCATGTGATCATAGATGCTAGACACTTCTCAAACCTAATTGATGTCCGCACCTATCGAGGCGCCAATATTGATTCAGATCACTTTCTAGTTGGCACACGAATTCGAGCTAGAATCTCAAATGCGAAGAAGGAGAGAAGTACCAAAACAACGCGTCTCAATATTGAACTCCTCAAAAATCCGCAAACAGTAGAAAGGTTTCAAAACTATATCGAAACTAAACACATAATTCATGAGGACCTAACAATTAGTAAACAATGGGAAATGTGTAAAAATAATATTAAAGAGGCAGCAAATAATATTCTAGGGCCAGAAAGACCACCACCACGTAATGACTGGTTTGATGCTGAGTGTGAGGACATTACAAGAAGAAAGAACGATGCATATAAACTGATGCAGCAAAGAAGAACCCGAGAAAAACAGCAAAAATATAAAGATCTCAGAAAAGAAGAGAAGTGCATTCATAGAAGGAAAAAGCGAACTCACGAAAATAGAATATTGGAAGAACTTGAGGTATTAAAAAAGGAAAACCAAACAAGAAAATTCTACAAAACTCTGAATAACCCAAGAAAGGAATTCAAACCAAGGCTCAGAATGTGTAAGGATAAGGAGGGGCATATACTAAATACAAAAGAAGAAGTACTGAAAAGGTGGGTGGAACACTTTAAAGAACTACTTACTATAGAAGTAGAAGATCCAGATCCAAATCAACCACCCGCAGGAGCAAGCAACAATTCACCATTAGAGCCTCCGTCAATTCAAGAAGTACGAGATGCAATAAAACACCTAAAAAACAATAAATCTCCAGGAAGTGATGGTATACCCGCGGAACTTATTAAATGTGGAGGTGTTTCTGTGACTAATCAAATATATAAAATAATACTGAGAGCCTGGAATGGGGAACAAATGCCGGAAGAGTGGTGTATTGGAATCGTTTGCCCGCTACACAAAAAGGGTGACCAATTGGAATGTAGAAACTATAGGGGAATAACCCTCCTTAATACAGCATACAAAATATTTTCGAGGATCATATATGTTTGCCTAAGTACATATTCAGAGGAACTTCTCGGGGAATATCAAAGGGGCTTTAGGCCTGGTCGATCAACAACAGATCAGATCTTTGTGCTAAGGCAAATACTGGAAAAAACCAATGAATTCAATATCGATACATACCATCTTTTTGTAGACTTCAAATCTGCCTTTGATAGTGTCCTAAGAAATAAATTGTATGAAGCAATGAATGAATTCCACATCCCCGATAAACTGATAAGATTGGTTAAGGCTACAATGCGTAATGTGGTTTGCAAAGTCGAAATACAGGGCGAACAATCACAGGCGTTTGGAACGCATGTTGGGCTGCGACAGGGAGACGCGCTGACGTGTCTCCTTTTCAACATAGCACTGGAAAAGGCGATCAGAGATGCCCGAATAGACAACAGAGGAAATATTTTTAATAAATCATCCCAAATTTTGGCATATGCAGATGATGTGGACCTAGTTGCCCGCACAACACGCAAGCTAGAAGAAATGTATACCACCTTCTCAAATGCCTCAAAATCTATGGGCCTGCAAGTAAATGAGGAGAAAACTAAGATGATGGCATCAACACCCAACAATAGAGTCAGGAACATCGGTCCCCAATTCACGGTTGATAACTCTACCTTTGAAGTGGTTGACAAATTCACATACTTAAAATCCCTGATCACCAAAGAGAATGCCATAACGGAAGAAATCAAGCGAAGGATAATAATGGTAAACAGATGCTATTTTGGACTGAGTAGGCATATGAAAAGTAGAAATTTAAGCCAAAAAACAAAAATAACTATATACAAAACCCTTATACAGCCAGTGTTGACATATCTCCAAGGCAGACGAAGACCTTTTGCTTATATTTGAACGAAGTATCCTGAGAGGAATGTTTGGTGGCATCTGTGAAAATGGTCTTTGGAGAAGGAGATACAACTACAAGGTATACCACAGTTATAAACAAATATTTGGTGGTAAAGACGTAGTATCTCTTATAAGAATAGGAAGACTAAGATGGGCAGGACATCTAGCAAGATCACAGCAGAACAACCCTCCTAGAAGAATCCTTATCTCACAACCCGTGGGAAGTAGAAAAAGGGGTAGGCCAAAACTCAGATGGAAGGATGGTGTAGATGAGGATGGTAGAAAGATAGGCGCAGCAAACTGGCAACGGTTGGCAAGGACTACCTGGCGTAATAGACTTGGGAAGGTCGAGGCTCTTTCATAGGGCTGTAGCCATTGATGATGATGATGATGCGATTTCGCACTTTTATTTTAAAAGCATCATTGAGAATAATCAAATTAAATAAGATAGTACTCCAGTAAACGACCATTTTGGAGTGTAATTTTCCTCGTTACGACGGATTTGCTTGAAAATTTGGATTTAGGTTCCTCTTACCCTCTATTTCATTTTTGGAGTTTAGCCCACGGTTGCTTTTACTTAGGGAGTGAAAAAATACGTTAAAAATAAGTCCGGAAATTGATAAATTGACTAATTCTAAGCAACTTTTATTTCTACAAAATGGTTTTAATAGCTTTAAAGGTTACCGAGTTATGAGAAAAAAATAATAAAATATTTTAGGAGATATCAGAACGCGTATACTGGAGCATTGTAATATTCACATAATGTGCTATTAAGGCACATACATACCTACTTTCATCCATCCTAACAAACTAATAAGGGTTGTTTTTAAGTTGAAATAAAATAAATTCATAATATTTTTATTAAAAAAAATATTGTAGGTATTTATAGTTTCAAATTTCAGTTTTCTCTTTTTCAAATGGATCTTCGGTAGTAGCTCGGTTTGTTAATAATTCTTTTAGACGTAACCGAACCAGTCTTGGAATATATGGCGAATTGCATCTTTTTAACGTAAG